CATGGTAAACAATTTTATAAGGATTTCTTTTAACTTCCTAGCTCTGGTTTCCCATATGGTAAAACCCTCTAAAACATCTCCATATTGCTAAAAAGCTCTCACCTTGAATTCACACATATGGGCGCGCGCGCGCGCACACACACACACACACACACACATAAACATAAACATACCAACCTCTATTTGTTTGCAAACATGGTGATTTTATTAATGTTGGGTGTTTTGGGTTTTTTTTTACACCCAACTCTCTTTTGGGGGAGGGGTGGGGTAGAGAGGTCACCCCCCTCAGGGCCCAGCCTGCCCATCGTTGCTGCTTCCTGCATCTTCTAAATCCATCTCTTCCAGCAGCTCCTCCGGGGTGGAGTAGGGCTCGATGTGGAGGTCCTCAAAGGCGCCGTCCACCCACAAGGCCAGCCCCACCGTGGCGATGGCAGGGGTACCCGCCGTCCCGCTGGTGAAGCCGCACTCGAGGAGCGTCATGTTGTCGTCCAGGAGCTGGTCGTCCTTGTAGAGGCGCTGCTCCTCAGGCGGACGGTTCAGGATGCCCTCGATAGTACGCTTCAGATCCAACACGGTGCTCGACTCCTTGGCATAGGTAAAGATGGTGGTGCTGTGACGCCGAATCACCAGAAACACGTCCATGATGGCGGCTGCCGCTAACCGTCAATGCGTATGCGTGCTCTGGACGCAACCACGTGACCGCGACGCAACCGCGTGCCCGCGACGCGCCAGCGTGCCCTCGACGCAACCACGTGCCCCCGACGTGCCAGCGTGCCCTTGATGCGCTGAGCGTTCCCAGTGTGCTCCTCATTGCTGTTCTCAGTGTCTCGCGAGTCAGTCCGAGCATACCCAGCAATCCCCCCCTCCCCCGGCCCCCCTCCCCGCCGCCCACCCTCCACCCCTAGTAGGATTTTATCAGTGATTTAAAATACAGGAGTAAGAATGTTTATACACTAATAAGGAGGCAGTTTATCGTTTTTCTGATTTACCAAATCCAGAAGATAATGAAACATTTTCAAATTATTCTAACACACATTATTTTATCAAAGTCAATCCAGGATATGTATGAGCTTTCAGGATTCTGGGATAGATTTCTGAGTAAGACCATTTAAAGAAGAATACAAACATTTTTGACAATTGAAAAAAATATGATTAATTAAACTTGTTTTCAAACAATATATGCCAAACATGTTCCTCACTTAACTCTATATGTAGGTCTGAGACCTGAGGTGATAACTGAAACACAGGGCACAGAGCTATCTTATTAACATTGACTTGACTGGCTATACTTTTAGGATTATTCACAGGTATAATCATTTACTACATAAATCATATACATTTTAAAGTGAATCTTTTGCAAAATCTTGATCAAATAACGTAATGTCAAATCAATCATGTATGGGGCACTAAAATAAAATCTACACTAAAATAATCACAATTTAGCCTGTCTGTGGGTGGCACAGAAGTAAAAGCATTCAGCTGCTAAACCAAAGAATAATGGTTCAAATCTACCAGCTGCTCCATGCAACATAGACTTGTTAGTCCACTTGTGTAGAGATGTACATCCGTGGAAACCATACTATGGGAAGTTCTATATTGCCCTACATGCTCATGTCGCAAGTCAGAATTGAGTTCTACAGAGGGTGAAATCAGGCTGCTCCTTGGAGGCAAGGATTCTGAGGTTTCATCTGACATACGTTGGACATGTTGCAAGGAGGGACCAGTCCTTGGAGAAGGATGTCATGCTTGGGAGGGTGGAGGGACAACACAGGATGGGAAGGCCCTCTATGAGGTGGATTGATTCAGTGACTGGGGTAACCAGGATGGGTGTGTCAGAGACAGTGCGATTGGCACAGGATAGAGTAGGGTTTAGGGCTGTGGTATATAGGGTCACTATGAGTCGCAGGCAACTCGATGACACATAACAATAGCAACAACAGTGGACCAATAGGCAACATCGTTATTGATGGAGAGCAGGTTGAAGTTGCCAGTGATTTCATCTTACTTGACTCTGCAATGAAGATCCTTAGTACCAGCAGTCAAGAAAGCAAATGACTTGTTGCATTGGGAAAAATGTGCTATAGAAGACCTTGTCAATGTAATGAAAAGCAGGGACATTTACTTGCTATGCATCTGAAACTTAGACCATGAATAAGGATGAAAGAAGAAGAATCAATGTTTTTGATTTGTGGTTTTGGAGAAGAGTGCTGAATATCCCATGGACTGCCAAAAGACAAATCTTAGTCCATCTTAGAGGAAGTGCAACCAGGATGCTCCTTGGACCATACTTTGGACACGTTGTCAGAAGGGGCCAGTCCTTTGAGGAAGACATCATGGAGGTCAGCAGAAATGAAAAGGATCCTTAAGGAGATGGATTGATGTTGTGACTATAATGGAAGTCTTGAGCATATCAGAGATGGTGAGGATCGCACAGGATGGGGCAAGGTTCAAATCTTTTATTCAGGGTCACTATGAGTCATGGTCAATTTGATGGCACCTAACAAGAACAACAACATGAAGTTTTTTAGGGAACTCTGCTAGTTTAGCGTGTAAGGGATTGTGTTGCTAACCTAAAAGCAGGTAGTTCAAATCCACCAGGTGTTTCTCTGGTGAAATATGGGAAATGTCGTCTCAAATGAGGGTTAGGTATGGGTTGGTTCTGATTCAAAATCACATAACAACACTGAGTTGTGTTTTTTAAAGATGTTTTATTTATATCTAGTTGAAATCATTATTGGAAAAGATGAAATATAAACTAGTTTTCTGTGTCTTTAAAGGGAGAAAAACAATGAACTTGTAAAACACTACCCGATGTGGATGAATCTCTGTCACAAAGGACAAATATTGCATAAAATCACTGTTCCAAAAATTAGAGTCAGAAGGAGAAGAAAACAGGAAAGAGTGGATAGATAACGAACACTGCAATGGGACAGGTGAAGAGAAAGATGATCTGAAAGGAATGGATGAATAGACATATGTATGACAACAATCTGGAGCAGGATGTGCATTACAATGTGAATTGGGGGAGAAGGAGGAACGAACATGTGTATCCGTGAACGAATGAAAACCCAACCATTCTGTAAACTTTCACCAAAACCACAGGAAAAAACAAAACAAAGTAAAAAAATAATAAAGGGAGAAAACCATAGCTGTGGAATGCCAAGTATGTATTCTTTCACTCCACAGTAATTTTCACAGATAGATAAAATGTCTCATTTTTTTGATGTATTATTCCATGTGATTTAAACACTAACATACATATATTGGAAAGTATTTAGAAACTTATTTATTACCTAAAAATATAACACCAACAATCACTTTACACAAGAAAAACTCACTTCAGCTTGATCCTTCCTTCCTTCCTTCCCTCCCTCCTTCCCATTCATCTGTCTTTGTTCTATTGTGGTGGTTTGTCTGTTACTGAGATGTTGGGAGGTATTCTTTTGTTTTTCAAGGACAAGTAGGTTCGTTTACTGTGAACAGGTTTCAACAGAGCTTCCAAAGTAAGACAGAGTGGGGTGAAAAAAACTGGGCATTTAGTTCTTTTTTTTTTTTTTTTACTATTATTAGTTCTTTTTTTTTTTTTTTTGTTAACAAATGATCCTTTTTTAAAATTTTTTGTTTTTTTAATTTTTTTAATTAAATGATCCTTTATTGAAATATTTTCATCTGTAGTTCCTTAGCTAGCTGGGCATTCCATAGCACCACTCTTGATGTCTTCGATGATGTCATGAGGGTGGCGGCCATCAACATTGCAGCCCACAGATTAGGCAGTTCCCAGGATCTCTTTAATAGTTTCAGAGAGTTCTCTGGCCAAAGGCCAGTGTCGCATCTGCCAAGCAATGCCAACAATCTCATCAAAAGTGCTATGTGCACTGTGTTTAATATATTTCTGCTTCTTTCTGTCTCTGGGTGGTTCCTTTAGGGCTTTGATGATCAGGGTAGAGGCAGAAGGCACCACTCCAATCTGGGCCTGTCTGTTCTGAATGGTCAGTTTCACTGTAATTCTTAGTTCCTTCCAGTCACCGGTGGCCTTGGCAATGTCATCACCAATGTTTTTTGGAGACAGACCCAGAGGGACGATCTTGGGGGCCAGAGAAGATGTGGCACTCACTTCCCCACCAGTACACCTCAGGTACACAACTTTAATCTCATTGGGCTCAAACTTGAGGTCAGGGATGCAATGTCTCCCACTTCATTTTTGTTTTTCAGAAGTGCTTTGCTTATTGGTATTTCTTTCCTTTCCAAATAAACTTGAAAATTTCCTTTTTGATCTTCCTGAAAAATTAAATTGACATCTGCATTGGGATTGCGTTGAATGTGTAGATCGCTTTTGGTAAGATTGTCACTTTACAATATTAAGTCTTCCTATCCAAGAACAAGACTCATTTTTCCATTTCTTTGGGTCTGTAATTGTGTTTTGCAGAAATGTTCTGTAGTTTTCTTTGTATAGGTATTTTGTATCTCTAGAGCAGGGCATTTGACTGTGTAGATCATAACAAACTATGGCTGACTCTGAGAAGAATGGGAATCCCAGAACACTTGATCATGCTAATGCGAAACTTATACTTGGACCAGGAGGCAGTCGTCAGAACAGAGCAAGGGAACACTGCATGGTTCAAAATTGGGAAGGGCATACACCAGGGATGCA